GAGGACACATGAGAGAATGGGTGAATAGAGAGAAAGAGGGACATTAAGTAATTGATGGGGACACAGAGACATCTCTGCAGCAGGAAGTGCAACAGGACAGGTTCTAAACAACTCCACATGTAATCCAGATAAGCAAAATGACTTCATGTGCTAATATTATCATTGTGGCTAATTGTTCCTCATTGCACAAAACACAGCGTTTGGAACTGTGCTGATTACAGAATGTCGAAATTCTGCTTAATTTCTGCAGCTGGGTGCAGGCACAGCTGTGATGGTTTATTATAAGCCTTCCTTAGAGAGGTTACACCAACACGGCACACTTTATTCAAATCATTCTCCTGAATGTAAAGTGCTCAAAGTTCACATCGCATCTGAAGCTGTTAAGCCACTTTACAAAACATAATAAAAGAAAATGAATGTAAATAAAAAAGCTGAACACTTTTCTTAGTCAGTTTAATTAAGACCAGCTGACTTGCCAGTTATTTGATATAACAATTGAATTGACCCGTGTGACACAAGACTATAGTTCTCTCTCTCTCCACTTGATGACATTTCAATCCAATGCTGAGCTGCAGCAGATCTGAGACTGTAAACGGAGGTCAGGTGAATATATCATTAGCTTTGAGCTTTTATAGAAGTCTTGCGTGTGATCAGGGAGAGTCTGACCTGGTTGAGTTTGCAGGGCACCTCAGGATACTCCTCCCGCAGAACCTGACAGAAGGCCAGGGTGCTGGCAGCGCCGACGGTCAGGAAGCCGGTCCCAGGCATCAGCAGCTTCTCCCCCGCTCCCCCTGAGAACACATCAACACACTGCAGTCACTCAGACACCAGGGCAGGTCTGTGCGGCTGGGAACTAAGAGCACAACACACTCCTAAAAACATCTCCTGAATTGGTTAACAGTTAGTGAACATTTTGTAGTATCCACATCATATGTAAGGATGTCTCTTTTCATTTACCATGTGTTCTTATTTCAATATGTATTGGTGGTGCGCGTGTTCCCTGGAGCTTAGTGGTGTTTTTACCTGACTGTATTAACTCTTTTTTTTGTTGCATGGACAGAGAGAAGGGGGGGGTGGGCATTTCACCCCCCCCTAACACTAACAGTCGCAATCACCATTGCATTTGCAATTGGTCCTAACAACAGCACTGTGTTTGTGGAAGTATCTCGTGTTTGGCCCCCCTCGGGTCCTTCTGTCTGGACTGCCTTCACCCGCAATAACTGTTATAACATTTTGAATATGCTAATTTTCTAAGTAAATGCTTCACAATTATTATTATTTTAAAATAAAAATAGTTTGAGCGACTTGTTTGAGCTAATTAGCATCTTTAAGTTGAATGTTTCTGTTTTCCAGCCCTAATTCACTCCGCTGCTTCCAATGAGCAGCTCGATACAATACTGTGTAAACGTTGGAATTATCAAGGTTTTTTAAAAATAGTTTAATAACACATTTGCCACATCGTCTTGATTATGTTATAATAATATAGCATTTGTCTTGCTGACCCTAGGTAATCAGCTAAAGGGCCAGTTTGAGTTGTTTGCTATCATCTATCGGTGAATCCAATGACTATTCACCTGTGATGAAGGTGTAGGTAGAGTTGGAGTCGTCCCTTACCAAGGGGAAGAAGGCCTTCCATGACACAAATGTGCTGAAAAGTAATGTCTCAACTACCTGGTGGGAGATCAAACAAAAAACAATCAGACAAGAATCAGAATAGACAGGATGTAACAGGTGTCAGGTTTATGTGTGTGTGCATACCCAGTGCAGGTCTTTGAGGGACTGTGTGTGGGGGGGTCCTCCCTGCCACCAGCTGAAGCCTAGAGAGGACACAACATCTGTCACCTTCCCCACCGCCTTCAGCAGCGCCTGCTTCACCGTCTCTACCCCCCCCTCTGAGCCTGGAACACAGAACAGAGGATCCAGGTCAGCTGAGACCCTCCTGCAGGTGGAGACATTTGAGACCAATGTAGACTGCAAGTGATTGCACAGGCTGATATTGATTGTTTTTGCTTGAAGCTGCTATAACATACCATTCAAATTTGGAGTATGATTTATAACTCTTGGTAACCCCTTGTTCACTGTTTCCTCTAGACATATTCATAAATCAATGAAAGGTTAGCTCATCTGAAAAAGATACATGTAGCTGGATGTAGCTTCCATGGTCCACAGAGGATGAAAACTGTCAGTCACATGTTCACAGCAGGTCATCAAAAACATTTAAGCACATTTATGAACCCAAGAGGATGAAGCCTTACCAATATGGCCACCGAAAGCTTTCTTCAACAAACAACTAAATGACAACTTTTAGCATTAAATATCGTATTATTTGATTCGCAACAAATAATGTTGATCTAAAGTTATCTAAGCGTTGAGAATCAGACCTGCAGGTTAAACAAATCCCGGCCAGGAGGACGCTAAAGCAGGAAAGCTATAATTCTGTTTCCTGTTAGACCTGTGGACGTGTTCATAGGGTCTAACCCTAGGTCTGGTTTTTGTAACAAAGAAACATTGATAACAAAATAACACTGTTGAAGGATAGCACGATAATAATATTCAGTTTATTAAATTCAAGCAATCCACAATGACTTGTCTCCACGTGTTTAACCAAGTCATGTGATATGCTACTTCCATATGCTTTGAGAACATATATTAATGGGATCACTGAAGACATTATATATACATGCATTATAGTCACTACAACTAACTGTCTCTGTAACGATTTGGCCCTGATTTAGCATCATAGCGTTTCAGCCAAAGAGCCTACTGATTTCCACCTTGTCATGTTTTTCCATGCAGTGACAGGTGACTTACGGTCAGTCTATCACATTTCGATCAAAACTAAATTCTCCAAACAAATATGGGTACCATTTGTCTCTAGCACCACCAGCCGGTTACCATTTGTGGCTCAGATCAAAATGTCGGACTAAAATAAAATGTGGTATAGACATCAACAGCTATCGTAAGACAGCCAGATACCATTAGACATGACAGTCGGCTGTAACTGTCATACGTGCAACGCTCTCAAAAAAAGTCAAGATAAAAAAGCCATGGGAATCTTGTTGCGGACCCCCCAGAGTCTAGGACCGGCCCTGCTAACCCAGCTTACCCACATCCCCCACCAGAGTGGTGAGGTTCTCCTTAGTGCTGGGAGAGACGAATGATTGGAGCCTCTCCAGCCGACTGCTTTCCCTGGAGATCACTGCCACTTTGAAACCTACTCACACACACACACAAACACACACACACACACACACACACACACACACACACACACACACACACACACACACACACTACATTAAGTTCAGACAGACATACACAAGTACCTTTAACACGTACAGTGGTACTAATCCCTTTCACATGAAAAGGAACATTAACATAGCAGGCCTGTTTGTGCAGATCTGTTTATCAAGGCCATCAGAGGGTGACAGAGCAGATGGTAACTACCAAACAGTAAAGCTGTAGAGGTGCAATGTAAATCCCTAACTAATGCACTCTCATCACAGAGTGCTGCCCTGTCTCTTTCAATGGTCCAATAAATAAAAACACAGATAGTATGGTAGGGGACATAAACAACCTCTAATTAAGGAGGAAGATCCGAAATAACTCTTAACCACGTCCAACCATGACATTGAATACAAAATAAATAAAAACAGTGCAGAGTTCCGAGTTTAGATCAGAAAATATAAAAGCGTTGGAAAGGAATCTGTTGATCAGAGGCACCAGCAGAAATGAGATGCACAGAAGAAAAGTCAAAAACAAGTTATATTAAACTTACGAAACCCACTTAATTAAACACATTTATGAATATTATTTAAAGTGTTACTATCGGACCTGTACACTGCGCACCCGAATGTACAGCGTTTGGATGTAGCAGTGCACTGCCCACAATGAACAACTGTACACAGGCAAACGCGCCTTCAACATCAAATGAATAGTGAGTCATTAAACAAATCTGAAAACGCGCATTAAGTAGGAAAATTGTTATAAAATATCTACTCTGCAGTTAATAGGATTGAAATTACCCCTGCGGAAAAACAGCGAGACAGTCATCTGCGCGTAAAACTCTTTAGACAGTCTCCAAATACATGTGTATGTGAGAGATATACCCATCTTCTTCAAAGAGAATAATGAGAATATTCCCTGTACTGTATATCCTCCTAGCAGGAGACAGGGGTTTTCTTTGCTTCTCCAAGTCCAGTTTACCTTTGTCCAGCAAGGCTTTAACAATCCCGGAGCCCACGGTGCCCGCTCCTCCCAGAGCCAACACAACCCTCTCCGAGTTCGACATGCTGGCTGCAGCTGACGGGCCTTTGGAGGATGACTGTCTGCGTGAGTGCTGGACTGAAGCTGGGGACTTGTGCAAAGCATCTTGGCCAACCCTGGTAGCTTTAAACTACAGACAGGGGCCACAGTTCCGCCCTTCTATCGGTGTCATTGATGCCCCGCCTGCAGATAAACAAAAGATGATCCCCACTTCACCCGGGACAGTGTGTGGGTGCCTCGCTTATTAAAACCACTGTGTATAAATACACTGTTGATAACGACAGGGCAACCGGTTCATGCAGAGGCCAGTATGGCGCTTAACATATGAAATGCTGCCATCTAGTGGAGGATGCGCTTATTACAATATAACATGCCAACTAAATTAGTTACTTTTTTAATTAATTTGAGTCAATTTTTTTTTATAGTTTAATTTTGCAACGCTCAGAGTTTAATTTTAGTCAATTTTCTGTGAAATAGTTTAATTTTGACCCCTCAAAGTTCAAAGAAATCCTTCCACTGCAGAACTACTCTTCCCCGCCCGGCCGGCCCGCCCCGGTAATACTACCAGACGCACCCGTCTGGGAAAATCCGTGCCACGTGACAATGTTTACTTTGTTCTATCTATACAATCAACAGCAGCAACAGTCAGCTGCACACCGACCGCTGAGTCCGGAAATGTTTTAGTTACCTAGCCTGTTAACCAGACACAGGTGAGTGTGTGTGAATCTAATGTGTCAATCAAAGCTTATACTTGGATCAGGTTTCAGTGGCCAGCTAACGTTAGCTTAGCTCCTCGCTAGTAAGTATCTCTCTCGGTGTGAAATGTCAATCCTAATTTTAGTCATTTAATGTTGACTTGCGTTTTGACAGAAACACATACATTTTCAACCATGGACAAAACTGTTTCCAAATCAAAAACAGTACGCCTTTAATTCGGCATATTTCTAAAACAAGATGAAACTCTAATTCAAATGGTAATTTAACTTTTCGCTGTTACTTCCGGGGTCTTTCTCCAATCATTAAACACAGTGGTTGGCGGTGGAAACAGTCTTATTAATGTCGACCTTTCGCTGTTTGGTGGATTGTATGTCAACGGAATTGAAGAGCAGCTAGCATTTCTGTAACAAAACGGTATTTTATTACAAATTCATTTAATTGTCTCGCAATTTAAAAAAACACTGAAACGCAAAAGCTACAGGTGACTTAGCAAACTAGCTAGTCTCAGTGGAAACAGCTTGAGCTAATGCTAACGTGCTGACAGTCCATTATAGATTATTATCACTCGTTGTCATGGAGCCACGTACTGTCTGCGAGCTATTTCTGTAGGTTTAAGCGACGATAATCAACACTGTAGTTGGTTAATTACAAACAAAATATGTTTACATTATTTTTCACTTTCACTTGGGCCAAGATGTCATAACTTTTACTTTCGGTTTTGTAATACGTGTTTACACGCTAAAAATAATTAACCTTATAACTAAACTCGCTCAGTACTTTTTTGACATATTTTTCCTTTACTCCAGAATGACTGAGTAATCCTCCCAACACTGAACAATACATACTTCTTATTTTAGAGGAGCTCCATGTTTACACACTTGTACACATGGCACACCGGGGAGACAAACCAAAAGACAGGTGAGGATCAGGGCACACATGAATTCATTCAGAAGAAAATGAATATGATGAGATAAAGTGTGAGAGTTAGCATTCATGCTACATTTTCCTGAAATCCTGAAGTTTGTCCTTTTGAACAAACCTGATTGTTTCAGGGTGGGGCGGTCATTAACCCGTTCTGTACTGAAGGTGCTTCTGCTGTTAATCATGGTTGTAGTAAACATATATTGCTACTGTGGTTACTACACCATCAGTAGTATGCAGTGTGTGAAGGTGATGTGTGTGTTGTGACTGGGTGCATCCTTCTAGGCACTGCAGAGCTCTGATGCAGCATGTCTGTAGTAAGTAGATCTGGTGGAGGAGCAGCAGAGTCAGCAGTCTGGAGGCCTGAAGACCATCTCTGGCTACAAAGAGCCAGACTCTCAGGTCCAGGGGGACCATCAGTAGGCAAACAACCTGAACATTTTCTTTAACAGATTTGACCAGTCTGGTGCCACCCGACACCAGTGAACATCCAGGGAGCAGGGAGTGGACAGAGACTGTGGAATCTTACAAGTACCTGGGTGTTCATCTGAACAATAAACTGGACTGGACGATTTACTTCACTATTCTCTACAAGAATGGACTGCTGGACAATGTGTGTCCCCACCCCCCCAGGACACCCTGTCCTCACTGCAGCTCCTTCAGTGACAGGCTGCTGCACCGCGGATACAGCAGGTCCTTGCTTCCTGCAGCGGTCCGACTTTACAACCAGCATGGCCCCTGGTAGACCCCCCCCCCACACACACTCACACAAGTTGACTACAACAAGACTACGACGCCACTGTTGTGCAATAACACTTATGTGCAGTTTGTAAATTAGTAGAATCTACTTGACTGTAACTTGTACATTCAAATGACTTTTATATTTTTCCTATTGTACATTTCATATTTTTTCTGCATGCCCATTTATCTAATAGTGTTTTATTTGTATTGTCTATCTTCTTTGTGCCGTAACAATGTACATTTCCCCTAAGGCATATTCTGATTCAGATTTTAAATCCTAAGGATCCTTCTTTGGAGATTCTGCCACCAACACCATCACCCACTTTGAATGTATAGTCAATTATACATTTGTAATACATCTGATCTTGTAATGGACCCAAGCTACTGGAATAACAAACCACTCCTATTAAGAATGCCTCCATGTCACTTTATGATGCAACTCCGCTTTATTTGTGTGTATGAATTGTATGTACGGGAGGTGTGTGGCTCAGTGGGTTGTGCGTTGGTGTTCGGATCAGATGGTCACAGGTTCAAACCCCACTGCAGTCAGCATGTCGTTGTGTCCCTGAGACACTTCACCCCAAATTGCTCCTGTGGGATTATAAAAGCGTCTAACAAGTGACATGTAATGTAATATGTTGTACTGTGTGTCATTTTATCTTATTTGCTAGGTTCAAAGACACATTTCCATTTTTTGTAAATGAAATGGATAATAAAGTATTCTGAATCTGAAATAAAGTTTTAGGTAACTTGTAGAATTTAGAAAGATAAATTAAAAAATCAAACCACTTTAAAACAATAGTTTGGATCACTTTTAGCTAATTATGTAGAAACAGTTATTTTGCTTAAGAAGAGAGAACGTGCCAGAGTTTCATCTTTAATTTCAATGTCCTGTGTGTCTCCCTCTCAGCTGATAAAAGAGATGAGCCTCTCCAGACAGCGAGCCGGAGACCTGGTGAGCATCTATGATCAGAGTTTGGAGCAGCAGATCGTGGGTCAAGGCTCCAGCCTGGCCTGTGGAGACGAGGACCTGTGGAGGCAGGTGGAGGCCCTGCTGAAGGACGGAGAGGCTCAGGAGACACACTGCCTGGGGGTGGACCCGCTGAAGGTGATGGAGGAGTCGCTCACAGCAGCACCAGCAGGCGGGGCGGCACGACTCAGAGCCAGAGCAGGGCTGAAGGGCCTGTCCAAAGCCTTCGAGGTCCTGGAGCAAGCGGCCCTGAACCTGTACCTCGGTCACTGGAGGGCCGAGTACAAAGTAGTCAAGGTTAGATCTGAGGAAACAATGGAGTCATGTAGTTAATTTCTGCATTTGTTTCTTAAAATGTCCCACCAACTCTGATTATGTATACAGTGGTGCAGGAATGAGTCCTAAAGCCATGAAATGAGTAAGCATTTTAGCACCTCGTGTGAGAACTCAACCGATATTTGTAGGTGTTTTTTTAGATGCCTGAAATAAGGTCTGTGATTAACACAAGCTGAAGAGATTGACGTTTTTTTCTGTGACATAAAATATGTCAGTAAATACCCTAGTGGTGAATGTCTTTTATGTCTTAAAAACAACGGTTGCTAAAGAATGACTCAATAAGCCATCACGCTGAACATTAGCCCCCTTTAGCTTTAGCAGTTGTGCTTTGAAGTCATGTGACCATGCTGTAGTTCCTTTTATAGGCTAATGTTAGCTTTTTGCTTCTGACTATGTCATTTACATATGCTTCTGCACCCGCGTTCCCATCAGCAAAAACACGTGGGTTTGCTGTCCTGGCTCCAAAATGGTGGAAGGAGCTCCCCATTGAAATCAGGAAAGCAGAAAGCTTACACACCTTCCGGGGCAGACTGAAAACTCATCTCTTTCGACTCCACCTCGAGCGATAGAACTACACTGAACAAAAATATAAATGCAACACTTTTGTTTTTGCTCCCATTTTTCATGAGATGAACTCAAAGATCTAAAACATTTTCTATATACACAAAATAACCATTTCTCTCAAATATTGTAAACAAATCTGAAAAAATCTGTGATAGTGAGCACTTCTCCTTTGCCGAGATAATCCATCCCACCTCACAGGTGTGGCATATCAAGATGCTGATTAGACAGCATGATTATTGCACAGGTGTGCCTTAGGCTGGCCACAATAAAAGGCCACTCTGAAACGTGCATTTTTGCTTTATTGGGGGGCTCTGGGGGGGTCCGAAAACCAGTCAGTATCTGGTGTGACCACCATTTGCCTCACGCAGTGCAACACATCTCCTTGGCATAGAGTTGGTCAGGTTGTTGATTGTGGCCTGTGGAATGTTGGTCCACTCCTCTTCAATGGCTGTGCCAAGTTGCTGGATATTGGCAGGAACTGGAACACGCTGTCGTATACGCCGATCCAGAGCATCCCAAACATGCTCAATGGGTGACATGTCCGGTGAGTATGCTGGCCATGCAAGAACTGGGATGTTTTCAGCCTCCAGGAATTGTGTAGAGATCCTTGCAACATGGGGCCGTGCATTATCATGCTGCAACATGAGGTGATGGTCGTGGATGAATGGCACAACAATGGGCCTCAGGATCTCGTCACGGTATCTCTGTGCATTCACAAGGCCATCAATAAAATGCACCTGTGTTCGTCGTCCATAACATACGCCTGCCCATACCATAACCCCACCACCACCATGGGCCACTCGATTCACAACATTGACATCAGAAAACCGCTCACCCACACGACGCCACACACGCTGTCTGCCATCTGCCCTGAACAGTGAAAACCGGGATTCATCCGTGAAGAGAACACCTCTCCAACGTGCCAGACGCCATCGAATGTGAGCATTTGCCCACTCAAGTCGGTTACGACGACGAACCGGAGTCAGGTCGAGACCCCGATGAGGACGACGAGCATGCAGATGAGCTTCCCTGAGACGGTTTCTGACAGTTTGTGCAGAAATTCTTTGGTTATGCAAACCGATTGTTGCAGCAGCTGTCCGAGTGGCTGGTCTCAGACGATCTTGGAGGTGAACATGCTGGATGTGGAGGTCCTGGGCTGGTGTGGTTACACGTGGTCTGCGGTTGTGAGGCCGGTTGGATGTACTGCCAAATTCTCTGAAACGCCTTTGGAGACGGCTTATGGTAGAGAAATGAACATTCAATTCAGGGGCAACAGCTCTGGTGGACATTCCTGCTGTCAGCATGCCAATTGCACGCTCCCTCAAAACTTGCGACATCTGTGGCATTGTGCTGTGTGATAAAACTGAACATTTCAGAGTGGCCTTTTATTGTGGCCAGCCTAAGGCACACCTGTGCAATAATCATGCTGTCTAATCAGCATCTTGATATGCCACACCTGTGAGGTGGGATGGATTATCTCGGCAAAGGAGAAGTGCTCACTATCACAGATTTTTTCAGATTTGTGAACAATATTTGAGAGAAATGGTTATTTTGTGTATATAGAAAATGTTTTAGATCTTTGAGTTCATCTCATGAAAAATGGCAGCAAAAACAAAAGTGTTGCATTTATATTTTTGTTCAGTGTATTAACAAAGCACTTATATACTAATAAAGGGCTGGCTTATCTAAAGCCAGTTGAGTAGCACTTGAAATGTTTTTGCTCTTTGAAACCTGTTGTACTTATATGATTCTGTTTTCTTCAAGTTTGTATTTTGTTGGTCGAACGCACTTATTGCAAGTCGCTTTGGATAAAAGCGTCAGCTAAATGTAATGTAATGTAATTTATGCCTAAAATATCATAAAGTGGTTTTAATTTGTGGAGATTATCCTGCTGAACAAAATGTGTAAGGATCATAGTAAAGGTGTGTTTGCCAAAGATCTTATATGTTGCAATATTCCAAAATCCAAAGGAGAAGTCCCATTGGTTTTGTGATGCTAACATCTGGGATGGCCTACACAAATCACTGCACCCTTCTATTCAACGCTGACCCAATGTCTTTTCAACGCTGACAAGAGTAAAGTCTTTAATGGCACTCGTCTTTTCGCATGCCAGATGAAGATAGATTGATAGATACTTTATTGATTCCTTTGTTACAGCAGCAATGTGTTCAGGCATTAAAATATTTAAGAGATGGAATAAAGTCTAAACATAATAAAATAAAAATAAAATATAAACAGCAAATATATCCATGTCTACAGTAGAAAAGACATGAATCACAAAATACACAATATAAAATATTCTGAATAAATGAGAATCTTCTCTAAAAGACCAATATACTGCAGCAGTAGAAATGTAGACATCACATATAAACATAAGCGGGTATATCAATCAAATAACAGTTGTGCAAAAAAAACTAATTTTCTTCTTGTCTCGTGTCCCAGATGTATTCCGGTCTGTTCACCCACTACATCAGGCCGGTGCTGTCCCTTCCTCAGATAGAGGAGCTGTTCGGGCTGCTGGGGTACCAGCCCAGCCCCCGCGCAGAGCAGCTGCGCCTGGCCCGGGTCTCCGCTGCCTCCCTGGACCGCCTCCTGGCTCTGTCCTGCGCCTTCTTCCTGGCCCGCTGCGAGTGTCGCCTCCTGCTGGCGGCTCTGGGGCGGCACGCTGGGGAGGCCCAGTGGGAGCTGGGGGTGGTGAGGGAGAGGCAGAGGGGACGCAGCCTACAGGTATGTTTGCTGTCTCTAAAATCTATATTTTTTTGGGGTGAGGTCTTTATTTTCTAATGGAGTCGTTCAGCTCTCTGGTGGAGATGGAATCTGTCCTCTCTTGCTGTTCAACCAATCTCATGCTGCGCTGACAGACATTGTATTTATGTTGGAGTAGTTCCCCCAATTTCCAGAGATGGGTCATATTTGAGTTTTTTCAGGTAGTCAAATATTCCTTTTAATGGACAAGTGCTGCCACAGAACTCTTTAATGCCATCATGTAGTTTAAACGAAGAGCTGAAAAACAGATTTGAGTAATGTGATCTTTAAGTTGATTAATAATTATGTTATGATGAATAATAAAAGCCACATCACATACTATTAAATATTTGTTATGGATGGATTGATGTTTTCATCTCTTAAATATTGCAGCTGCTTAATGTGAAGCTAATTTTAATTATTGTATTTACCGCAGGCTAGCTTAATCTGTAATAGTACATACAACATTTATTTTTTGATTATATATTGTTTTGATTATCAAAATCGGCAAGTAACAGGTCAGGTCAGGAGCTGTCAGATAAATGTAGAGTTGAAAGTATAATTTTTCCCTCTGAGATGAAGTGGAGTAAGTGCTTTGGGTCCCATAATATGGAAATAATTAAACTACCAGTACTTAAAAAGTATGCTTTAGTACATTATTTAACTTAATGAACTTAGTTTAATTCCACCATTGTAGTAATATTAGCTTCAGAGCTAAGCATTCACACTACATTTTTGCGTCATATACACATCTTTGAACCTTATTTACTGAGCAGCTGTGCTGATATTATACTTTGCTAAACCATCATCTCGTTCTATTCCTGGAAAACAGTAAAAATGTTCACACTGAGGATTAATTTGACATGCATCCCAACAGGTTGCCCTGGACAACACCAAGAAGACCCTGGATGTCAATCAGCCGTTTGATGGAGAAGGGGAGATAGATCTCTACACGGATGAGTACGTTAAAGGGGGGCGAAGGGAGACGGTTCTCATTGACGAAGAGAGTCCCCGTTCTTTAACCTGGGTGACTCAAAGCAGTGCCCCCCCCCCCGCTGTCAAAACACACAGCAACGGAGTGGCGTCCTTGTCTGCCACCTCTCTTTCTGCCAAAGAGCAGGTCTGCATCTCTACACTCAACTGCCAGCTGAGCAAGACCTCCCCCCTGGAGGCGGGCCCTCCCAGGAGCTCCTCAGCCTGCGGGAGGGAGGGCCGACGTCCCTGCAGAGAGCCCCGGTTTGACAGAGTGGACTCCCAGTCCCGCAGTCTGCAGTTAGACATGAGTGGTTACCGTCACAGCGAGGCTGAAACCGACCACAGCTGCCTCTGCCTCCAATCGGCTCATCTCTGTCCTAAAGTCTGCACTGAATGCAATGCCTTGCACGACATTGACTGCAACATGCTTGAGCTCTGCATCAGGAAGAAGCACCAAGTGGAAGAATTGAGAGCTTCGTCTCCCCAGGGACAGAGCCTCAGAGTGAGTGATATGAGCGCATCGCTAACTCTCAGCAGCAACGCAGCCATGTCCGTCTTAGCTCTGCGTGATGAGCATAAATCAATAAGTCAACCTCTTCATCGGATCACCTACCATGACTGCTGCGACATGGCCAAGCCGGACCCCCAGTTCCTGTGTCTCAGCTGCAGGGTCTTTCACTCTGGTTCCTGCAAAGGGATAGAGTATTGCCGGAGAGATCACGACCTGCGGCCCCTGGGCGTGTGCTCCTGTGGGAGGACCTGCTACAGGAAGCCTCTGGTTCTCTGCAGATATTGTGGAAATGAGTATTGTAGCGATTGCTGGTACAGAAATCCTGTAACCTGTGATTGTGGCCAAACCTTTGACCAATCATCTTCTGTGTGATTTGTATTTGAAAAGTATTGCACTTATCAGGCACAATTAGCAAAATCACAGTGCCTTAAATCTGCATACTGTAAACAGAATTCAAATCAAAATGTTGCCTTGACACAGAACCGACATGTAGTATTGAGTGTGTCTGTTTTTGTATTATGGTCTTCTCTCTGAGACTCATCACTCGATCATCCAGTTAGTGCCATATGAACCATAATCGCCATTTTGGAAGTGTTGTATATTGTCAAATATGAAGTTGTGATATAGTTTGTGCTCTTGGGTCCCCTAATGTAATTAAGTGTCAAGCACAAGAATGTCTGCTTTTACATGTATGCTTCCTGCACAGGACACAAAAAAGGTCAATGAGCCAGTTGTCTGTGTGTGATGTTTTTATGATACAAGAGGAACTCACTTTGGTGAAAGTGGAGTTATGTACCAATAAAACTCTGAAAAAGTACTGGCTCAAGTAATTGTATTGACTCATTAAATACACTCATCAAGCCCTTTCTTTATTACATTGAAAACAACCCAAAACTTATTATTTTAGTCCTGCTGAGTATTTGGCTATCTGCCCCCAAAGTAGCGACAAAAGACTACAATTCCCGCCAGATTGTTAAGAGACAGGCAACCTGTTTGGAAGACGTTGACAAGAGACAGTTCTTAATGGTTACATTCTTATTAGGTTGGCTTATCACTTTGAGTTTTGCCTCGTGATGTTTGCCTCTGGTAAAGTACCAAGTGTGGACACAATTGTATTTTACTGTGATTAACCACAAGTCAATATATAGATAAATAAAGATATACACTGGACATTTTTGTTTTAAAAGGCTTGTACACGGCCGGGCCCGGCGCCACGAGGGGGCAAAAGGGGGAATTGCCCCCTCAGTTGTATTCTTTCCCCCCTCACTTTGAGCATCATTCATCCATCAAAAAGTACAATAAATGTCACAATTATTAAATAACTTTAAATAATTATTTCCCCCAATACACGTTACTATGTTTGGATCAGATATGTGGGCAAGCAGTCAAGCAACGTGTAAAAAAGCCTCAACCCCAAGTGAGCTTGTTGTCTTCATGTTAGCGTGTGTGCTTAGCTGTAAACACAGTCGGATGGGTGACCAAAAAGTCCCTGTTTTCCGTGGCTGGTACCCGGTTGAAACTCCTGAAAATGTTCCCGTTTTTGAACGTGCGTTAAAAAAAATAGAGCAAGGTGAAATCAAATGTTATATGTCAGTAAAAACAGAGTAACAGGTCGTTTCTCAATCTCGAGGATGCTGGCTTGGTTGTCGCATACTTCCAAGTCACTTCCTTCCGAAACGAAGCAAGTATGCTTCCAAGCCACGGCTTCGGAAAATGAAGAAGAATGGAACAGGCTAACAAGTGTGCCACTCTAACGGTTTCAACATAAACTGTACCGAAAATAAATACCTCACGATGTCTATCTAATTATGAACTTGCTTTACTTTCACGGAACACATTTTTGATGATAACAAACAAATGTAACAAAGTAACATATTTACCAACACATGTTCTACGCCACTACATACTTACATTTAAATGTGTGCTGCTTCGGTTCAGCCATTCTCCGCAAGGGTTTTTGAAATTGGTGCGTGCGCAAAGCATTGTGGGGATTTTAAGGACGCAAAGTCTACCTGACCGTTTCTCAATCTCAAGGATTCTGGCTTCCAAGCCAATATTTCAAGGATGCTACGTCATCGAGTGCCGCCGAAGGACTGTTCCAATCTCCAGCATACTTGGAATTCCACCAAGGCCGCATCCTTCGTTTGGGGGAAATTTCGAGGATGCACATGGGTAGACTTCGCGTCCTTAAAATCCCCACAATGCGGCCTCGGTGGAAGTATGCTGGAGATTGGAACAGTCCTTCGGCGGCACTCGATGACTTAGCATCTTTGAAATATTGGCTTGGAAGCCAGTATCCTCGAGATTGAGAAACGGCCACTGTGTTGTGCCTGTTTGTAGCGTTAGCGTATTTCTTCTTCTACTACTTCTTCTTCTTCTTTTTTTTTAATGGCGAATCGCTTCCACTTGGAGCATATATCGCCACCTACTGTTGATTTATTAAATGTTTATATTAAATCCTTGCCCTCAGACCAGTGTTTTTGAGGAACTTGAAGATCAGCTCGTTTACTTCATTTCTTGATTTACTTTCGTATATTGACTTGAAATCCATGTCCTTGATGTTATGTTGTTCCAGTGCAGTTTTCAGAATGAGTCTTTGTCTGTTATAATCCGGGCAGTTAAAAATACATGATGTAATTTTTCTCCCCAATTTTCGGCGCTCCCGATGGGATGATGCGCCCTTGGCATTCGCCTATACTGCCTATGCCAAGGGCCGGCCCTGGTGAAAACAATATGACATCAACAAAAAATAAGACAGACAACTGCAGATATCACCACACATGATGGTTACTTGTTATTATTTAGGGCTGCTTGTATGGATCAGGTTTTTGCCAAAGCGAGCCCTTTTACCAGTGGCGTTTTCTCCTGGAGGCCAAGGGAAGCCAGGCTTCCCCTGTTTTTTCGGAGTGTAGTTATAATTTTAATAAATAAATAAAAACACTTCGTTTAGTTTCGGAAATTCGTTGCTGTGTGTTGCTGCCGGCCCGTCTCTCCCCCATTCTCATTGAGTATTTTACAAAGAGTGAAACAGCGCCCCTCTAGATGTTATGGTGAAACAGTAGATTGCACTCTCTGTTGCGAGAGGAGGCTAGCCGAAATTGGCTTCCCTTGGTGAAAAAAATTGAGAGATTGACCAATCAGATGAGGCTCACGTCATGCCCCTGCCAACCTGTGATTAGTCAGGGCCATGCCAAGGGAAGCCAGAGGCGGCTGGCTTCCCTTGCCTCACAATCCAATCAAATCGCATCAACTTAGTGTTGCAGTGACGCATCCTAAAACCCGGAAGTAAGCTGCGCTCAGGTTCCCTCGACAAAAAAGCAATGGGATTTCTCCATAGGATTTTGGAAAATAGCTCGAAATAAGGTCAGTGGAAAACGAACCTGTTAGTTAAATGCACGTTGTGTTCAGTCGGATAATATCCACATGTCTACCCTACTTTTATAAGTTTCGAATCATAAATCGAATCGATAGAAGATAGATAGTGTCACTGCACCACTCTCACCGCCGTTAGAAAGTAGCAAGCAACTGAAGCAAGTGCAATTATGGAGGGTGAAGATTTGGAGTATTTACTCAAAAATAATTGTACTAAACTTCCGCTACAGCAGCAACAACAAATACAATCTGATGACAGGCCGATGCCCAAACTGGAGCTGTGTACAGCGAGGAATAAAGGAGCGAATAGGACGTAAAACGTTAAAGGTCTCCTGATTTAGTTTGTGAATGAATGCTTATTAGAGTTTGGGCTGGAGAGTGCGTGCGGACCTGTCGGTTAGATAACAGGGGTGTGTAAGTCCTGCATCTGTATGATACAAATGTGTGTAAAATGATACCGGGTGCTGTAATCACTCATCTGGTTACGTTATTATATTGACCACCACACCCCGCCGACCCAAAAGAAAGGACGTATTATTGGCTTCCCCTCATTTTTTTCCCACGCCACGCTACTGCCTTTTACTAGAATAATAATATGTTGTGTATTATATCAACCGTATTGGTACAATGAGCGACATCTAGTGACGGATTTTGGAACATTGATTTTATTTTTCTCATGGTAGTTAGACTCTAGAGACAAACCAGGGGACTTTATTTTTTATTTTTAATCTGTGTCTGTCCATTTGGTGTAGTATTTGATCCAATATTACATTTGGTTTATATATTAGTCACTTTATTCTGAAATGCCAGGTTTTAGGCCTTGGTTTGAACATTCAATCCTGAAAATAAAAAATCAACCAGATTAATGTTTCTTTAATCCTGACCTGACTAGAGGTAAATCAATCTGTATAGGAAGACGAGTTAAGGGATAGAGGAGAAAAGGTTATGGTATAATTACAGAGCCTGTCAATTTATAAATTGAGGAAATCAATGTTAGTCTGTTAACCAAAGTGCAGCCATCTATCTATCAACTATCTACTATCTATTATTAAAGATCAGAGGAAAAGAACAGAACGAGAGGGGTAAATCCAGAATAAAAATAAAGAAGAAAAGAGATTGTAGAGCAGTGAGAAGGAAAAAAGCTCGGTGTGTCAATTCATTACATTGCCAGTATTTTTCGTGGTTGTGAAAAAAAATCACCCCCTCTGATTTTTTAACAGCCCCCTCACTAATTTCATCCTGGAGCCGGGCCTGTACACTGCCCTTCTTATGTTGGACCGCCTTTAGCTTTGAGTACGGCACGCAGTCGGCGTGGCATCATTTCGATAAGCTTCTGCAATGTTACAACATTAATTTCTGTCCAGAGTTGCATTAATTTTCCACAAACATCTTGTATGTATCGATGACGGGAGAGTTGCACCGCTGCCAGTGGCGGCGCCAGGTTATGGCTGGGGTAGGCTACAGCCATACCAAGAAATGGCTTAGCCCCACCATGAAAAATTATGTTAAAGGTCCCATGTCATGGCCATTTGCACTGATCATAATTCCATTGTTGAGGTCTACTAGAATAGATTCTGTGCAATTTTCCAAACTCACATTGGTTTCGCATACAGCATCTCTGTAAAGTATGTGTATTCAGCAGTATTCACTCTCTCCACTAAACGGCTCATTGCAGCTCTTGCCCCCCCCCCCCCCCCCTGTGAGCCCAGTGTGCTCCGATTGGTCGGGACGCTGAGCTCCGTGGAGGTGTGATTTCCTTGTTTAACGATACACAGCGAAACACAGCCAAACTCATCCTGAGCACACACAAAGTCACAGCCGAAGTAAAAACAATAAGTGTGGCTTGATATTGAGTAAGAAAAAGGTTGATAAACGCTGTGAGAATGGGTCTGCAGAGAGAATGGGTCTGCAGAGAGAACGGGTCTGCAGAGAGAATGGGTCTGCAGAGAGAATTTCGCCGCGATCCCAACTGTCTGTTATCAGCCTGCAGCCAGGGAGGAGAAATCAGCAGAGCTGCCTGCACTGAGTGTGTGAGGAAGTCCGTGGATTGGTCAATTTGGACCAATCAGCGGGGGCTTAACGTAACGGCTCCGCGGACGTAACGTAACGGCTCCACGGATTGGTCCATTTCGTTCCGGGTACGGATGACATCATGCGTACCCGGAAGAATCAAATGGACAATGACGTATCTCCAACGAGGCGTTTTGGGGAGGTATTTTCTGTGTTAGAGTTGTACTCGCTACAGGGTGTACTTTGAGGGGTTTGACTGTGCACACCGTTTACATGCATAAAAACCTTCATAACACACAAGGGGACGGGTAATAACCGGAAAAGCATGACATGGGACCTTTAAAGTAAGAAAAATAAAGTCCGCCAACTCGCGCGGAGTAAATTGCACAGACAGCAGTTACTCAGATTGATTTCAGTAGCCACTTGTCTGGAAAT